TGTTAACCCGGTTTGTAGTTTTAGGACGATTGCTAAAGAAACCGAATGCAATAGCCAACCTCTCAGTATGACTAGTCTGGGTCAGCTCCTTTTCATCCTCCTCAACATCCTGTAATACAAAACTGTAATCCGGAACATAGCCAAGGCTATTCAGGTTTGCATTCAACATTCTTAACTCCTTGTAAATCTGCTCATATTCTGGGTGGGATTTTTTGCCAGTATAGAAGACATCAACCTTCTTATTCGCTTGGATTGAGCTCCATCCAGGAGTCTTCTTCAATCCCTTTTCTCTAGCCAGCGATCTTACTTCATCCACTCCTTCCCAGTTCCCCACATTTGCATAAATGTTTGACAAAAGAACATAGTATCCAACATTCTGTTGATCAACCTCAAACAAGCGATCTGAGGCAAATTTTCATAAATCAATGTTTCCATGTATTCTGCATGAACCAAGAAGAGCGCCCCAAATAGAAGCATCGGGCTTTAGCGGCATACTCTTTATGAAATTATATGCCCTTTCTAAATATCCAGATCTACCAAACAAATCAACCATGCAACCATAGTGCTTCAAGCTAGGCCTGATTCCATGCTCTTCCTGCATCACATTGAAACACCATTGACCCTCATCAACTAAACCTGAATGGCTGCAAGCTGACAATAAAGATACAAATGTTATATGATCTGGCTTCACGCCCTCACCTAGCATTTCCTCAAACAACCGCAAAGCCTTCTCACCATAACCATGAACACCGTGACAAGCTATCACAGCATTCCAGGGAACAGAGCTCCTTCTTGGCAGTTGGTAAAATAAGGACAATGCATCATCTAGTCGCCCACATTTTCCATACATGTCTATGAGGCAGGTTCCGACAAAGACATCCAAGTAAAGACAGTCCTTAGTCACTCGCCCGTGAATTTTCATTCCTTGTCGCAAGGCTCCAACGTGAGAATAAGCAGGTAGTATGCTTACCCAGGTCCCTTGATTTGGGATAATGCCGGTGTACTGTTCCATCATATGATATACCTCAATAGCCTCAGTTGCAAGCCCGTTTTGAGCATAACCAGTGATCAGGGTGTTCCATGATATGACATCTTTAACAGGCAATCCTTCAAATACTGTTCTAGCAGAATCTATAATACCTAATTTTGCATACATATCCACAACTGCATTTCCGATTATAACATCTTCCATCCACAAATCTCTCCTAATGATGAATCCATGAATAGACCCACTATTTTGATGGTCACTTAACTGAGCAACAATAGAAGCCAAACTCACCAGTGTCAATAAATCAGGCTCAATTCCACTTAGTTGCATCTCCTTGAACAGCTCAAGTGCTCTATTTGGATCCTCATTCTGCTCATATGCAGCAATTATTGAGTTCCATGAAACCA